ACACACACACACACACACACATGTTGATGTATCTATGTATAGACAGAAGTCTAGAAGAAAATACAATAGAACATTAGCAGGAGTGGTAGTGTTATAGGTGATCTTGATGTCTTCTTTGTATCTTTCTGAACTTTCCAACATTTTTATGATGAACATTAACTATTATAATTAGAGAAAAAAATTAAGAGTAGACTCAGAGCATTGAGAAAAATTCTACCTGGCCATTTTAAGTCAGTATAAATTATTACAAGTAATCTAGTAATCTATTGTCACCGCAGATCATTCAAATTATGACGACATGTACAGTGTAAGTTGTGAAACTCCCCCTTGGCACACCAGCTGCCCCACCCCCTCCCCACACACAGATTCCCTCTCTGGAGGCAGACCCGCTGGTGATTGATTGTTTGGTGTCCGTCCTCCGAGTGCCCTTCTAAGTCAGTGTGTTTTAATAGAAATTTTGTACCATAGACTGCGAGGCATGTAGTCTTACTGGGTTATCGTATTTCTTTGTTCTTCGATTACACCAGTGACGTTCTTTCTCTTCTAATATCATTTTCCTCAGTGCTCCAGACCCTGAAACTCAGGATGCCAGAATCCCAGTTGAGGAACTTCCCCGGTGGGTAAAAAAGCTTTGATCCGTATCGGTGTTCCAGATTGCAGAAAAAGAAAATTAGGAGCCAGAAATCTAAGTTCATTTGGTGAGATGCCTCTTAAACATGCAAAGGCAGAAACCAGCCCTGACCTGTGAGGCCAAGGGAAAAAGGACGAAGGAGGAACCAAACCAGGCTTGAGAGAACCGCTTCTGTCCCATCCCTTTTTGCTGTGCGTTAAGGCGGGATCTTTGGGGTCTGGAAAGATTCACGCTGCAGATGCTAACCTAACCTGGTGTCTGTGAAGCATAGAGCCCGGCGTCCTAACTGCTGCCCTCTTCCTCCTCCTCGTCCTCGTCAGTCCTATCACCCAGGCCACACAGGCAGTGAGAGGACTTGCGAAGGTGAAGTTATAGGACCAAACAGAATTTTTGTAGATTTAACAAGAAACCTTGGAAAGATTTTTATGTCCATTTGTCAAAACTAGATATTAAAACAGTACTTCCAAAAGTGTTTCATTTAGCATTAGACCCATGTGATGTTGATAGGGATTACTTGGGAAAAAGATGTCATGTGCTCAAATAAATACGGGAACACCAGATTAAACAAAGTTAAAGTATGTTTGCTTTACTGCAGGACTTCTCAGAGCATTGACTATGCGGAATTACATTGTTACTCTCTAAAAAGTGGTTATTTCACTGGTTTACTTAACCACAGGAACTTTTTTTAATAAGGGTTTTCATTACTAAATTTTTGGAGGGGAGATGGGTTTGTTTGTTTGTTTGTTTACTTATTTATTTATTTAGTGGAGGTACTGGGGACTGAACCCAGGACCTTGTGCATGCTAAGCAAGCTATACCCTCTTCCCTCATTAGTAAATGCTAAAGTTTCAATCTAAAAAAATCTTTAGGAGATTAATATGATGACAGTGATATTTGGGGAGATGATTTTAGAAGGTATATACAAGATGACCTAGTGGTAGTAGCAAGCAAAAGATGAGAGATTTTTAGTAACTGACACTGGAGAATTTGGCTATAAATGGGCAAGAGAGAGGTGAATCGGAGAGAAAAGGAAAGGAGGTCACTGATGAAATTAGTGGGTTGTTGGCGTGTTGGAGGCAAGTCTGAGTCCAGTACTCCTCCTGGGCCTGGGTGACCGTGAGCACAGTCTTGCCGATGCGTGTGATAAGGTAACTGGGAAAGAGGAAGCTATTTAGAAAGACAATGTCAAGGTTGGCTGAAGTTCATTCACCAACAGGTCAGCCCAGTGCATCTGGACGAAATAAGTACTTTATAAATGAGTAAAATTAGTACTTCATCTTCAGGACAAGCTCCTGTGGGCTGGGAGGGAGGGGTGGGGGGATGACGGCTCAGAGTGACCTATCTGGACAGACCGGGTTTGAGGTGGCCCTGGCGTTCCCCTGGTCCACCTGGGCTGACCCTCTGGTGGAGCAGGTCCTGGGGTCAGGATGAGGATGACACTCTTACAGGTGTGAAGAGGCAGGATGCGGGGGCCTGCTGCGACCTCACGTCGTGTGGTTTGGAGAAAACCTAGACCCTGCCATCCTGGAGGAGGTTGACAGAGAGCTGGCCCTTTGTGACTTGTGTCTAGTGGTAGGTCACGCCCTTCCTACCATCCTGGTCCCCAGGATGCTCTGAAACACCAGGCCTGGGGTGGCTTTTCTTGTTTCCTCCCTCCCTCCCTCCTCCTTCTTCCTTCTTACCCTCCTTCCCTCCCTTCCTTCTTTCCTTCTCTTAAGGTGTGTGTGAAGAGGTATGGTAATGCCTTACAGAAAAATTAAGAAACAGTGAATAAGATATGATCTTAAAGAAAAAACAAATTTCTTCTGTATAGCACAGGGAACTATATTCAATATCTTGTAATAACCTTTAATGGAAAAGAATATGAAAACAAATATATGCATGTATATGCATGACTGAGACGTTGTGCTGTACACCAGAAATTGACACATTATAACTGACTATACTTAAATTTTAAAAAAGTGAAAAAAAAAGCATAAATACAGGACAGAAATAGACTCATAGACAGAGAATACAGACTTGTGGTTACCAGGGGGGTGGAGGGTGGGAAGGGATAGACTGGGATTTCAAAATTGTAGAATAGATAAACAAGATTACACTGTACAGCACAGGGAAATATACACAAAATGTTATGATAAATCACAGAGAAAAAAATGTGACAATGAGTGTGTATATGTCCATGAATGACTGAAAAATTGTGCTGAACACTGGAATTTGACACAACAGTGTAAAATGATTATAAATAAATAAAAAATGTTAAAAAAAAGTGAAAAAAATAAAAAATAAAGAAAAAAAGGTATGTCCTTAAAATATGAAACTATGTAAAACCATGCTTTAGGCTTCTCAAAGCCTTTCCCTCTGGAAAAAAGTTAATGAAAAGAATGTGTTACTGGTTTTGATTTTGAAAGTAATACATACTTATTATATTTGAGAAAATACAAAAAAGTATGAATTTATAAAGAGGAAATTTGATATCACCAATAATTACACCTTCCAGAAATAGTCACTCTTAGCATTTTGGTGTATTTTCTTCCAGACCAGTGGCGATAAACTGTGATAATTTACATTATCTGGTGAATACAGTTTTATTGGCCCTGTGGCTGTGATCACACTACAATGGCAGAGTTGACTATTTGTGACAGACACTGTATGGCCTACAACCTAAACATTTACTATCTGGCCCTTTACACAAAGCTTGCCCACCCCGGTCTAGACCTTTTCTCATGCACATGTGCACATATTCACTTTCAAAAACTGGTTCACGCTGTATGTTCTGTTTTAAGACTACTTCATTCACATAGCAGTTCACTCGGCATATTTCTTGTCAGTATATCCAAATCCACGGTGTCTTTTAACGGCTGCGTGGATATAAAATGATATAGTTAACCAATCCTCCACCGTTGGACATTCAGGCTGTTTCAGATTCTGATATATTTTAGACAATGCCCTGATGAGTGTCCTTAGACATAACTCTTCAGGTTATTTCCTTAGGACGGGTTTCCTAGAAGTGGAGTCAGTGGGACAAAGGGCACGCTTTCAGGTTTTCCTTCACACATCTTTAAAAGCAGAGGCACTGTCTCGTGGATGCGTGTTCATTCAGCCCGTATTTCTCGAGTGCACCCCAGTGTTGAGTCTGGTCTCTGTGCACTTGATAGATGGTTAAGCGAGGAAAGCTGGCTTGTAAAACTTGTTCTGGTCTCCCCGTTCTTGTAAAGAATGTTTATAAATATATATTCATAGAGAAAAACCTGAAAGCATATTCATCAAAATGTGCACAGTGAAATCTTGGGGAAGTAGGATTATAAATGACATGTATATGGTTTTTTCTTTGACTTTTCTAACTTAAAAGGAACGTGGGTTATTTGCATGACTTCAAAGAGCAGAAACAAAAATAAAACTCACCCCCTTTGGGTGACGATCGAGTCATTTCTTTGCCCCCTCTCCAGACGCTCAGCTCCCCTTCTCTTTTTTTTTTTTTAACTTTTAAATTTTTTGTGGGGGATATAATTAAGTTGGTATGTATGTATGCATATATGTACGCATGCATGCATGTATGTATGTAAGTATTTCATGGTGGTACTGGAGGCTGAACCCAGGACTTTGTGCATGCTGAGCATCCGCTGTACCACTGAGCTGTACCCTCCCCACCACCTCCCCTTTTCAAATCACATACTCTCTCCGAATTCCAGGGATCAGCCAAAAGGACGCCTCCTACCTTCCCCTCTGTCCCTCGGACATTCTCCATCTATCCCACCCAGCTTAGCTTTCCTCACATCTGCAACCACAAACAGGCCTGAGTTCATGTAAGGTTTTCTGAAAAACTGTTTCTCCTGCATAGTGTGGTCACTTGTCCATTCCGTCTGTTTGCTTTGTAGGTGGGAACTTCCTCTGTGGTCTATCCCGCCGCCCTGTTCGCCCCCCAGGTGTCTGCCCGGGGCGTGCCCGTGGCCGAGTTTAACATGGAAACCACCCCGGCCACCAACAGATTCAGGTACAGGAACTCCTGAGGTGGGAGATGGACGGAACTGAGCGGGTTTGGAGACGGCCACCCAAACAGATTTACCCACTGTTCTAATTCAAAAACAGAGTCGGTGTTTTCTTACTGGGCCTGTAGTTGTTTTGATGGAAGAAAACAAAATATTAACTGTAGACTAAGGTAGCTGTGACTTTTTACGGGGAGTTGGCTGTAGGGCTTTTGTTTTTTGTATTTTGAAAGTTCGTCTTTGATTCTTTGGACTTGGCTTTCGTTGTATTTGTAAGCTAGATGTAGTAATGCATTAGTCGCAGGTCAGCCAAGTACTCAGCTCATCGGTGCAGAGGTACCCATGCGGCACTTCCTCGCCCACTGTTCTCACCGTGGGGCTCTTTGCTCTCGTGACCCAGGATGTCCGTACCCTTGGCCGTGCTGTGATCCTGAGCTCATTTCCCAAGTTTGTGCGGAGAGTGTAGGTCATCGTGGTGTCCGTTTGCAGTCTCATTCTGAGGTTCCATTTTACATCTTCACCTTTGTTTTGCTTTCTTTTTTTTCACCCCTGCTTTTCTGTCTTCACTTTTAATGTAGTTTGTATATTCTTATCAGTCTGCTTCATTCCTTTCCAGAATCAGGCAGACTATAACTAACTAATAAATAAATATGAATAACTAAAATATAAAACTTCCCTGAAACTTCTTGTCATTTTACCTCAGCTACATACACATTTTAAAAATTCTGCTGACTTGTACCACCCAGGAGATTCCAGTGTAATTGGGGTGAGGCGGGGCCCGGGCCTCATGATTTATAAGCTTCCTCAGTAATTCTCATGTGCAGCCAGGAAGGGAACTGACGCTCTAAGTCCTCACGAGGAAAAAATTGTGTCCCAGACTGTGTGGAAATGCACTTTCATGTGATCCTCGTCCGGGGGTGGGCTGGCTTTCATCTTGGACGTCTCCAGGTCTTTTTGATCCACTACAGCCTATGTCCTCAGACGTTAGTTCTTCAAATGTGTTTTAAGTGGTGGGACCACGGGAGACGTGTTTTTAAAAACTGCTTTCTAAAGTAAGACTTACACTCTGAAAGCAACAGAATGTTGCTGAACAAAACAGA